GCGGCCGCGCACGCGCGCACCTTAGAGGGAACAGTGGTGCTGCTGATGGCAAAGAGCCAGAGGACCTTGTTCCAGTGAGACTGCATCATGACCTGGAACTGTCTGATCATCTCAGCTTGCTGAGCCTCCAGGCGCCGGTACCTGGCCTTGCACTCCTGTAGGTCTTCCCTCTGTTGGGGCCCTAAGGAGAGGTGAGTGACTGGGGGGGGCAGTAGAGGTTGGCAAAGTGCCCCTCAACGTGAGTGACATCGCATTGGCCAGTCACATGACCACATAGTCATATCCACCTAGCTGGTCATTAGGAAGATCATATTAGTGGTCTGCAGGATTTAAAATTGTGAATTTAGTGGTTTCTGAAGTCCAAAAGGTTGGTGATCCCTGTTCTAGTCCAACTCCCTGTTCAGGCAGGAAACCCTATATCATTTCAGACAAATGGTTGTCCAATCTCTTCTTAAACATTTCCAGTGTTGGAGCATTCACAATTTCTGGAGGTAAGTTGTTCCACTGATTAATTGTTCTAACAGTCAGTTCTAGGTTGGCTCTCACCTTCATCATTAGTTTCCATCCATTGTTGGAATCCATTAGTGATAAATTGGATCTAGGGGAAAGGCATTTATTGTGGCAACCAAATTTAATATGTTTTTGAAAAATGCAGCCTCACCTATAACAGATCAAACATGGCCAGATTAGCTACTTACTATTAACAATATATTTGTATTGCCCCTAAGCTTCACCTGACTTACATGCAATATAAGTAACATTTGCATATTACCTGCTTATTCATGACATTGCAGGTAACCTTAGTTACGTATCTTAAATTATTTCTTTGGTGGCTTTAATGTAAATGTTAAAAAGAAATTGGTAGTAGAACATAAACCTACAAAATAAGTTATGGGAAGATACTATTGAATAGAGGACTGATCTGTCTAGTGTATTATGTCTAATTTAACTGACTTTTCGGGGTAAGAATTTCTCTATTACTATGTTTTTGCTGCTTCTCTTAAACTTGACACCCACAGAAAGGCAATTAGGCAGGTGACATTGTGTTGTACTTCACAATTTCCCAAATCTTTTGTCCTTCTCCATAATAGCTAAGATTCATGTAAATTATTGCTGAAAATTTCTTAATGTACTTGGTTGTCTTTTTAAAAACTGAAATACTTAATAAAGTTGTTGATTACCAGTTGCTAAATATTCCAATAACATTAGAATTTAGGAAGTCAAAGTAAAAACAAAATTTCTCTCCTAGAATTTTTTTTAAAAAAACCCTGAGATGATCGAGGTATAGAAATAGTGTGCTACTAATGAGATGTCATTTACATACTCTTTGTAGGTTATGCCTGTTGGCTCAGGACATCTGTGGAATATTTAGTGAAATACAGCTTCCCATTCTATGTTTCTCTTCACAAGTGATAGAACAATACAGAAAAAAATGGGAAGGAAAATGCTGTTGTGTTTCTAGACTGAAAATTTTGCGAAGACTCACCAGGGGAAGGTAAAAAAGTCACAGTAATTCTTTGCATCTAAAGGTGAAGAGGCACCAAAAAACCCAACAATTCTAGTATTTCTACTAGCATAGCTCAATGAATTTGAATAACATTGTACTCAATTGTTACAAAAAAAATATTGTGCTCTTAGGTTGAAAAGTGTTATTACCATGGAACATATTCCGTGGCCCTTACTGTTGTTGTACACTTCATTTTTGTTCTGCTGTTTTTGAGAATGGATGATTAGCACTCCATACAGTCATTGCTAAAGCAACTGGATTAATTCTATGTAAGGCAGTTTCTTTGTTTCCTGACATCCTTTCGTGTTATTGTGCTGATTCATTCAAGATTACCTTTCTTCCCAAAGTTAACCTGAATACTTTACAGCTGTTTAACAGAAGATGACTAATGAGAGATTATGATAAAAGAACAAAAAGTGTGCTAAATTTTATTATTTAAAATGCTCTGTGTTGTTTTGTGTTGTGCATGTCATTTTGTATAGGAAAAGAACTAAAAACACAATAATTTAAATAAAAATGTTTCTACTGCCAGTAGATGTTATAATTGCACTGAGATTAGCATATTTGGTTTCAATGTGCACTGTAGAAAATAAAAACCATATAGAAAAACTAATCTTTACTTTGATATCTTACCCAAAATATTAAACGTATCATTAACTTGTTATATTGGATTTTCTGTAAAACTTCTTTCAGATTAGCTTTCCACCTTCCACTGCTTCCTTTACAACTTATTTATTTACATGGTTTCTGTTTTGCATAATTAAATTATAGGTTTAGTCATTGTTGCATTGTATTTTAATTCTAGATATATTGGATTCTCATAGACATATACCATTTCATCTAGAATGGCTTCCACATCAATGTATTGTGAAATTTCTTTTACCAGTGGTAGTAGTAGTACAAGATTCCATTGTAATTCAAAATAATTAAAATACAGATGCAGTGTCAGCAAAAAAACCAAAAAAATATTTTGATAGTATGTTTCTAATGATTATACTTTTATTGTACATACATAGATTTTATCATATTTGTGCTTTGTTTACTTGTTTTGACAGAACTCTAGGGCTTTTTAGTCTGATTGACAGTCTATGGCCGCCATTATCACCTCTTCAAGTTCCAGGCAAGAGACAAGGAAATAAAGCAGTAAGATACTTTTAGATTTGTTTTTTCCCCGAAATAACCATATAAATAAGATTTCCTTAAGAAATTATTTTCTCAATTCCCTCATTACACTTTAAACATTGTACTTTCCTCCCTTAATATAATATCACCAACAATTACTGATCCAAGTTATTTGGTAATGTGCAATAGAAAATATTATAGTCTTCATTTTATGGAAAAGTATTTAAATTTAGAAGCAAAGAGTCCTAAAAATTGAGATTCCTGAAGGAACTTAAAAATGAAATTTTTACATGAAATTCCAAATTAGTTTGATTTAACCTAGGTTAAGGTGACCAGACGTCCCGCTTTTGGCGGGACAGTCACAATTTCGCACAATTTGTCCCGTGTCCCGTAGCGTTCTTAAAAAGTACCAATTTTTTTTTTAATTTTTATCTTTACCAATGTAAAGAGGCTGCAAGGTCGTGGCAGATACGGGCCGCCAGTGGGTCTTACTTATTTTCTAGGATACATACAAGTTGCCCACTACGTCCTCCATATTCGGGGAGAGACACTTGCTCCCGCGCAGCACGATCGCGCCGCAGGTTTTCAAAGCCACACGCTTGATTGGCTTGCAAACGTCACGAGAGACGGCTTCTGAAGGAGGACAAAAAGCGCTGTAGCTGCGCCTAAAGAATAGCCATCTCTGTAGGAACGAGAATGTCACTCATCCCAATCTTGCACGGCCTGTCTTCTAGGACCTACTAGGTGCGGTACGGACAATATTTTGCGCCGGCTGCGCTCGGTCCCCAAGCCATCCTGTGCCGCGTTCTGCTGGAGCCAGACGGT